TCTCACCACTTTGGATGAAGTTTCTGATCTGGGAGTAATTTTTGATTCAAATTTCCTATTTCTGAGTCATTTAAATTATATAATTTCTAAGTCATATTCTACACTTGCCTTTATTCGGCGCTTTGGTTCAGACTTTACTGATCCTTACACTCTAAAATTACTATTTACCTCGCTTGTACGATCTAAGCTAACTTATGCGGTCTTTATATGGAGGCCATATCACCTTTGCCACATTAATAGACTTGAGCGAATTCAAAAGAATTTTCTTCGTTTTGCTCTCAGATCGCTTAACTTTGCTGAACCGATTCCTTCGTATGATGCTAGATGTGCTTTAATAAGCTTGAAGTCTTTACAAAGTAGACGGAGTGTTCTTTCACTCTGCTTTATCTTTGATATTATCAGTGGAGAAATTGATTGTCCATTTCTTTTAGAGCGCATTTATTTTTACATTCCACAAAGAAAATTGCGGAGCAATGATTTATTCTTTCTGGAGCGAGTCCGGACGGTTTATGCATCCTATGCTCCGATTCATAGAGCATTGAAAGAATTTAATCAAATCTCAAATTCTTTGGCCTTTGATTTCTCGTCGCCTAAGCAATTGTTTAAATTATCATTGAATGAACTATATAGTTAAGCTTGAACTTGTATCGTTAAGTATTTTTGTAGTAGTCTGTAAGAAATCATGTATTTCTAGATTTACTAGATATGAATAAATAAATAAATAAATAAATTCGTCGGAATATTTTTTTGTTTATGTATGTATGTATGTTACCGCATAATTTTTAACCACGTTAACCGATTTTATAATTTTATATATGGTACCTCAGAGGCGGTCCAACACTAATTTGATTTAGATACGATCACTAAAATTTTTATATGAGAATTGAAGTTGGTTTTGTTTTTTGCTTAAAAACTACTTGTTTACTTGTTTTTTCAAAGTATTTACGAATTGTTAGCTAGTTGATAGCTTTTGAATAAATCTGGATATTAAACCGTTATGAAAAATGTATGTATGCTTTAAAAATTACAATAATAGTTTGGTCAGATCGCCGTGTTTTGTTTTCTTGTAAAAAATAGGTAAAATACGTTGGGAGATCGATTTATTTTTTGCCGATTCCTTCCAGCATCAATTATTTTTTCATAAATCGATTTTTTTACTTCGATCTGGCATCTCTATCATACATGTGAGGTAGCAAGCTTTCTATGCGCAAAGTACATTTTTTGGAGAACTTAAAAGGTTCGTTTGTAGAAGCCTTTGAACTTCACATTGTACAATTTTGGAAATTTAAAAATTTATACAAATAATTTTGTACGTAGAAATATAAAAGTTGATACTTAACATGTATGTCATACATATGAGCGTCTGGTATTGGGGATTGAAAATATGGTTTGGATCAAATAAAAACTGGTCATAAAGGAGGCGGCGCGAAAATGGGCACATATTTAACAAATGGACATAATATGTATATGTATAAATCATGGTTCTCACTGAAACGATTTTTCATCCCAACACGCATACGCCCCTCATTCTTAAAGTTAAATTCTTAAAATTTTTGTTTTCGTTTTGTTCTCTAGCAGAACGTTTCCCAGACTTTTATTCTTATTTGATCCTCCTTGAAAACGTTCTCTATTTTTCGTTTTCTTTTTGTTCTCATCGAAAACGTTCCCGAAAAATTCGTTCTCATTATGTTCTTCTTGAGAACGTTTCCGAGGGTTTTGTTTTGGCATCCTACGTTACATATGAAGATGGAGTCCGCTGGAATTACAAGTCCTGTCGGACTGCAGATCCAAGGTTAGGTTAGTTTAGAGTGGCTTCTCCGCGCAGAGTGCGGAGCACACGTGGGCTGGAAAAGCCCGTTGTGACACCACTGCCGGAACCTTTTGCTTCTTTCCCTCCCATAGTAATTGAACCACCCAGTGCGTTTTATTTAGCACAAAAAGTCGAGAGCGTTCGCCGAGTTCAAATCGGCTAAACAATTTAGAAAGTACTTGATGAAGAATTGATTGCGCGTGTTGGCCAGGGCAGGACAAGGGCAGGGATAGTGTCTGTTGGAAAAACGCTACCACGGTCCGGAAGTGAAAACTGAGGTTTAGCGCGAGTTTGTCAGAGTAGATCCCGCTATCCACTCTTTTGTTAAGCTTGGAACCAACTGCATATATGGCCCAAGACCCTGGGTTCAGGTCTGTGGCTCTTTCCCACTCGTTCCTCTCTGGGATTCTTGTGGAGAATTTGTTGTCTAAAGAGGGTAGAGAAGTGGTATAATCTATCCGTCGTAGATTATCCGGTAGAGTTTCAAGTATTTTTGCGTGTCCCTATCTGAGGTCTCTCCACGGCTGTATTGTATTCAACCTGGCAGCACTGCAGCCGGCCCGAAATTCGCCGTACAGATCCACAGGTGGAGGATTTAACATTATTTCCAAGGTATTTAACCTCAGTTGAGAGAGTAAGTGCCACCCCGTTTAGGGTGGGAGGTTTGAATAAGGGAGTTTGTGAAAAGTACCATTTGTGTCTTGATAGGATTGACACTAAGTCCACATCCCTTGGACCAGATGTTTACCAGATCGAGTGCGCTTTGCAATAACTCACTCAGGACCTGAAGATGTTAGCCCGTTACCACGATCGCTATGTCATCAGCGTACGCTATGACTTGACAACCGATGCCCTTTAGGCTTAGAAGTAGGGTGTTCACTGTTAGATTCCAGAGTAGAGGGGAGAGAACGCCTCTTTGGGGAGTGCCTCTGGTCACATACTTTGTAATGAAACCATACCCCAGCTCTGATAGAAAAGTTCTCTTTTGCACCCCCGCCATGAGGAGGGAGTTAACAACAGACTTTGGGTAGATGTTGTTGAAACCACCCTCGATATTGAGAAAAACTCCGAGCGTGTATTCCCTTAAGGCCAATCCTTTTTCTATCGTCGATACGATTTCGTGGAGTGCGATCTCCACGGATTTTCCCTTGGAATATGCATGCTGATTCGAGGATGAGCCTCTCCATAGTTTTAAGAAAAAATGAACTGAGGCTTATAGGCCTGTTGTTGTTGTTGTTGTAGCGGCTACAACAACCCCGCCCAGAACGGTTGGTACAGGCATTCACAGGTCTAGAGTCTACATAACTCGAGACTGAGTCCCTGTGAATGCNCTGAGATACTTCGCCGACCTAAACGGGGTTAGATCGCCGAAACAACAGCCCTTGGTCGGGTGAAACCCGAGTCATTCCGGTACGTAGAACCGGCTGTCGTGGGAATGGCCTGAAATCCTTCGGTTTCACATGAGCGGCCTTGCTTCCTTTTGGTAGGAATAAAAATTTTGCCTTTGTCCACTCGTGTGGTATGTGAGTCAGGGTTAGGCAGACGGGAGATCCTACCTCCTATGAGCTTTATAAACCAATTGAAATCTTATGGCCGCTATTAAATTGCGACGATAATTGATATAATCTTAAGCATACCTACATTTGACCACAAAAAAATTTCACACTTCACATTTGTGAATAAACTTTCAGTTTCTCAATTACTTTCATAATTCCTTTGAGTAATTGAAAAAAACTGAAGTACTTTTGCAATTCCAGGTAACGGGATTGGAAGAAAATATTTTACAGTTTACATTTTCAGTTCCTTTCAAAGGAATTGAAAAAATTACATTTCTACCACGTAATTGATTCCAATTATAATATGAAATTCCTTGTAATGGAAAAAAAAAACAATTACATTTGAAATTACTTCTAGGGAATTGAATAAGTAATCAATCCTTTGCTGTGGACTGAAGGAATTGATTCCTTACAATTTAGTTGTGATTGTAACGTAATTGCATTTACCCAGCTCTGTTTATGTAGTCATAAGTGGGCGGTGTCTGCCCATTTTCCAAAAATCTATAATAATTTTACATATTCACGGTGCTCCTGAACCGAAAATAAATGAAACATTCTTGCACCTCGAATGTTCTTGCGGATCTGGAATATTTGAGATGTTTAGATCATAAAAAGTCAAAAATGAAAATCATACACGTAGGTAAATCTTTTCGAGAAATTCAAGTATAAATATCAGTTGAAGATTATCATTTAAAGTTTATTGTTAGGAATCAAGTTAATTTATTAGGAATTGCTATTATTGTAATATTTTATAAAAACTTGTACAAAAGTTATATCATTCATGCATTAGCAGAGTGCAATATTAGAAAACGCTGCACTATTAATGCCGTTGATTGCTCGTCGGTACGTCGTCGGGTCCACTGGTTGGTCAATGTAAGTCTGGACTGCGGCCTTATAAATGAATAGGTGCCCCCTGACGTGCCTGTGCGGAGGCTCCTCCTCTATCAAGGGTCTGTTAGGGTGTTGACGTCTGTGGCACCCCATCAGAAACTGCTCACAAAGCATTTTATTGTGCTCCCTTACGGGAAGCATTTGGTTCTCGCTGTGTAGGTGGTGCTTAGGCGACATCATAAGGCAACCTGTCGCTGTCCGGAGTGCGGCGTTCTGACAAGTCTGAAGCTTCGTCCACTGCGTCGAACTAGTCCCCGGCGACCAAACAGGCGCAGCATAGTTTAGAACCGGCTAGCCAATTGCCTTGTATGTTGCCAGCGACGTTTCTTTGTTCTTTGCCCAGATAAAATTTTTAAAATAATGGTCAATATCGTCGTTTAAAGTACAAAACCGCGTATGTAATTCTGCAAAAACGCGTAACTGACATTGGTTGCCAAAAATTAGATTTGCTCACACAAGTTCTTGTCTCAATCCTTATCCATTCGTCCTGAAATATACTAGCCAGAAATGCTATTGCTTTATAAAAAAGAGAACTATTTTGAAATATGAGTGTTTTTACTCTCTAGAAAATAATTTATGCAACCTCACATACGCGGTTTTGCATTTTGTTGATGCGCGGTTTTGTACTTTAAACGACGATATATATGTATGTATGTATGTACATTGACCACAAGGAATACCACAAATACACCTAGCAATAAAAATAAAAGATTCTTAACACCTTTAAACTAAACTAATAAATATTAAATTGTTCTTATGTATAGCTCCACGATGTATTTTTGCATTTGTAACTGAGGATAGGATAAGCTTACAAATAAATATGAAGAATCACATGCATATGTACATATATAAAATTACTAAACGAGACACTTTTATTTAAGAGTGGTGAATTTATGATTAGTTTATTGTACGCTAGTACGGAAAGCTTTTTGAAATGTCTCTGTATAATATAAAAAATTCATATAGTAATAAGGTATAGAAGATCTATAAGAAATATACTTATGCACTATATATTACATGCGATATTTTGAAAAAAAGTACCGTAGAAGACACGTTTGAACAATTTTTACCACGTTAAACGGACAGTTGTTGATTTACAGATGTTTTAAAAATATTGCTAATTACAAAGTTATTTGACTTCAAGGTTTTAATAGTTCGGTTCTTTGATATACATATGTATTCCTCTACCATTCTCAATAGAGTATATGTTTCCCTGCAGGGATTAATGATTGATATTGAAAATATTTCGAAGTTCGATCATATGGATAGATATATAAATATATATTCAACACAATATTTTGTATGGTCAAAATTGACTTAGTTCTACTGTAAGCTAAGCTTTAACGCCTGTTCAATCATTTCCTGTTCACGCTGTAACTCAATTTCATACTGCTGCTGATCCTGTCGGCTAAGCTGTAAAGCAATCGCAAGATCAGGATCCATATAGCTAAAACCACCATCGTCATCATCGGTAGCTGGCGATCCTGTATTATTTGCGGCACCACACAACGACTCTTGCAGTACCCTGGGTTTTAAGTGAAAAGAAAATCGAACGGGATATACGTGGCAAATAGCGTTAACTACATAAATACATTTGGTAAATACTTTAATGAGTTTAATTAGCAATGACACGAACAGATTGTGAAAAAATAAAATAAATTGATGAATCAGAGCATGAATTCTTACGAGAATAAGTGAAATGTCAAAAATGAGTCTTTGTAATCAAAATATAGATACATACAGGGCGTATTTCTTTATTCATTCCGGATCTAGAATAGAATAGTCATATTTTATACGGAATAATTACGGTGACCATATTAACCAATATCAAATAAAGGACTTTTTTTTCAAAATTATTTGGGAATACGTACATACAACTTGTATGATAAGAGTACCTTACCCATATCGTAATTTAAATCAAATATTTACCAGTTAATTAACCGATTCCGAAAAATGAAGCCAAATCCTTTTCAAGGACTTCGCCATCCTTTGCTGCCAAAATGCATTTACCATAATTCATACTGCACGCCGAAGTCAGCACACAGTGGTTGAAAATTGGAATTTAATGTTTATAATTCACCGCAGTCTTCATTTTTCAACCAATTTTTACTAAAAACCAAAAAAAAAATTATTTTTGTGAACCTTTTGTTATAACATTTCAAACATTTTTTTGTAATTTATTCAGTTTGGGGAACCATACAATTGTTTTTAACTAGTTTTTGTTATGTAACATTTATTAACTGGAACAGGAGAATACATTTTCTTCAAAATTGCCACTTTTTCTGCATTTTGCACTAAAAAAATTAATATAATCAAATAAAAATTCACAAATCAGGCCCAACTGGTCTCTTGCAAATATTATAAGCTTATAAGTGAAAAAAATTAAGGCTCCAGTGAATTACGAACACTAAATGCCAGTTTAGAACCACTGTGCAGCAGGGGGTTTATTGTTCTCTTTCAGTGGAACTGGAAACTCAGGGTGCAACACGATCCTGGGCACAACTTTCCCTGTGCTTTATAGATTGTGCCAAGATACCTATTAAAAAAACCCTTAAGTGGGGTGCGAAACAAACTGGCGAAGGTTTTCATTATATTTTATAAGGAACATTTTTATTTTTCATATTCTGTTTAAAAATTTACCTCTGAAAAGCGCAGAGCTGATTTAAAGGACAGTTTAAGAAATAAAGGACAAAAGGCGTCCTTTATTTTGAAAAAAATTATGAAGGACAGGGGGTTAAAGTAAAGGACTGTCCTTTAAAATAAAGGACGGATGGTCACCGTAGGAATAATGGGAATAAAGAAACAGAAAAGAATAAAATTATTAGATATCAGATAGAAAAGAACTTTTCACTGTTTCTCTATTAATATTTAATTTAATTTGCTAAAGGTTTTATTCGTAAAACAATTTGCATAAACTTACTTGGTTTCTCTAGCGCCATTATTTTCATGCAATTTGTACATATGCACACAATCAGCTGTTCAGCAGAATATTTTATGAATTCCGTGCTAAAGACGGAATGAAAAGAATGCGTTTAGGTTATCCTGTAACATATTATCCAGAACGTTCCAACGAATAAGTAAACATAAAAATGTATTCCGAACGTTTGGAATGAATAAAGAAACACGCCCGCAATCTAACTAGAGCAAAGATCTAGAATAATAATAATTTGATAGTTCAGTTTTAAAAAGGCATCCCATATTTCGTCGGAATTATGAAATCCTTTATAATAATTATGAGTGAGACAAACTTTTTAAGTCATCGATAACTGATTTTGAGACTCTAATTATAATTCCACCGTGCTACCAAGGCGAATTAATATAAGGTGATAGCAGGAGTACAAAAACAGAAATTTACATGTATGTATTTTGTTTTTGCTTTGGCGGCATAAACTGTCAAAATCTGTAAGTGTGTGTAGAAATTCAAACAAAATTTTTCAATTTGACATCAGAAGCCGTGCGGCGAATCCCATACACAAAATCAGCTGATCTAGTAACACCACCTTATATAAATTCGCCTTGCGTGCTACAGTAATTTTGCTTCAGGCATTAATTTTTATGGAGTATTGTGGAAGATAAAAAGCTGTCGCATAAAAACACTTTAGGTAATATAACTATGTAGATTAAATAGTAACGATTGTACAGATTTATTTTGAACTTACTTAAGCCAATATTACTTACTTTAGAAAATTATTTATAAGTTCAAAACATTACGTTACATATTTAAATAAATAAATATTTTAACTCCCAATTGTGTCTGATTTATATTTATGTAAACGTAGTTGATGTACTTTTAAAAGACTGTTTTCATCTTAAGTTGTACAAATGTTTTCTTCAATAAATATCAAACATTTGAATGTTTAGTTAGTTTCGAGTTACAATGGAAAAACTCGAAACTTTCGCTTTTCTTAATTAAACAATAAATAATGATTTTGGGAGTACAATAGAAAATTTTAAAAATGGTTTTGCGTTGTAATCGAGACGCAACATCTACTACGAGTTTAGCATCTTAAAAGTACATGCCATTTTTTCATTTTGTAGCACCGTGTTATATGCGAGATCCATTTTTTTAGTCTTCGAAGACTTTTATTTAGGGGTGTGCCGCATATCCGGCAGATATCCGGAATCGGGCTTATCCGTCCGTTTTTCTGTTATCCGACAATCCGGCCGGATACTGGCTAAAATCCTGCCGGATTTCCGGATTCGATTATAGAAGATTCAATTTAAAAATCTAATTCAGATTTTTTTTTTTTGTATTTTTATAATCAAATTTAATACATAGTATCTAATTAGTAATTAGAGTTAAAAATTGATATATATTTCATTATGAGAAGAAGCATTTTTGCATTACAGTGCAACAACCTATTTCTATTTTCAACATATCTGTGTTCGTATGGAAAAGTAGCTTATGTTGAAAGGCTGGCTTTAGTATAATGCGGCATTCCCGTTATTCTTTAAACGACAAAGAATTTTTTGATGAGACTTAATAAGAAAATTGACTTGCTAGTATCGGAGCTATTTCTTGCACGTTTATTTGCCAAAAGTTCTCAACGGCTCACCGCCAGTGAGTAATTCGCAATCGTATGCTGCGAATGCCGATTTATACTAAAGCCAGCCTTTCGACATAAGCTACTTTTCCATACGAACACAGATATGTATGTAAATGCTACCCGATGGACTAAATACTATTTTTAAGTTCACTGAGGATGGTAGAGCGCAGCTGTAAATATTTGCCCATTTCTAAATTGCTGCCTTTTTTCTTTAACGGTCACTGCCTTGTCTACCCACATCACTACAAAAACTGGAATCCGCATCAGAGCCGTTGGCGATTTCCTCAAAGCATTGCCAAATATCCTGGTGAGCACCCTGCTCAATAAAAGCTTTCACTAGAGTTTGACCTTTTTCATATGATTCAAATAGTTTCTCCATGCTAACTGATTTATATTTTCGAATTACTTCACTATCGACCCCGTTTTTAGATTTATTGATGTAAAAAAATTAGACCTGGGTAACAAAAAATAGCAACAATGAAGCACTACGGGACAATGCGGGAAGCAAGGTGATATGTAAGCATGCATAATCCCTGCAAAGAATTGCTGACCATATCGTAAAGAAAATATCGATTGTACACTCACAAACATATCGACCCCTTTTCGCAAAATTATCGTATGTTACATTTTGTACGAAATGCATTTTTTTGATGCAACTTTGTTTTACATCCCATAACGCATCACCTGTTCAAATATTACGGCTTAAATCACAATAGCTCCCCCACAAATTGACTGTAAATTTTATCGTATGTGACAATGAATTTTTTCTTGTGGGCGAAATTGTATGTTACATTTTTTACGAAATTCAGTTTTTGATGCAACTTTGTTTTACAGCCCATAACGCATCACCTGTTCAAATACTACGGCTTAAATCACAATAGCTCCCCCGAAAGTTGACTGTAAATTTTATCGTATGTTACAATGAATTTTTTCTTGTGGGCGAAATTATCATATGTGCTAAGAAATTAGAAAGGTGTCAACACATTCTACAAAAAAAAATCTTGCGTTTAGTTATATTTCTCAATTATCCCAGCAAATCTAAACTTTGGTATTGATGGTGCTAGCCAAAGCAGAGAAAAGTACAAAAAACACTTTCCAGTAAAATTTGGTTTTTGTATCATACTATAATTTTGCGCAGTGGGGTCGATATGTACAGACATACATACATCAAAGAAAATTTAACTTCATTGTTAGCTGTGGTGCAAAACATATAAAAAGTGGGTGAATGTAAAAGAAAAATAAAAGAAAATCCAGTGAATTTAATTTGTAATATAAAAAAAAAATTACAAGAAAACTTTTTCTACCTCTATATGGATAGAAAAGCAAAAATGTGCGGCCAATGCGGCGAAATACAAAAAACTCGCAGGATTCACCAAGGCCGACTGTGGAGGTAGTGACTCCAATGGAGGCAGAAAGTCCAAGCGGCTCTGAGGAATTTGTTTTTAGCGACGAAAATTCAGACTCCGTTGAAAAATTAGAAGAATTGTCTGAGCTCAGTGAATTTAATTTGTAATATCAAAAAAAAATAAAAATACAAAAACACTTTTTCTAACTCTTGGTGGATAGAAAAGAAAAAATTTTAGGCCAATGCGGCGAAATACAAAAAACTTGCAGGATTCACTGAGGCCGACTGTGGAGGCAGTGACTCCAATGGAGGCAGAAGGTCCAAGCGGCGCTGAAGAATTTGTTTTTAGCGACGACGTATGTTACGATTCGAGCCCAGGGTTGCAAATCTTTTTAATGGAGGATTATTTTATAACTTAACTCTATAACTCATAAGTATGTCGCTAAACAAAAAAAAAAATGAATATAATATTGTGAAATTTATTAAGGTTCGGGTATCCGAATCCGGCTCTTATTTTTTACATGGTATCCGGAATCCAGTTATCCGGCACGTCCCTACTTTTATTCTAAATTGGAAAAGTCTTTTCATAATAATTTTGATTGAAAAATATTTTTGACGTAGATTACTTTTAGTCTTACTTTTCGATATGGGGGCTATGATCAAATGTTGGAGTTGTAATTTTTAGAGCTTCTCGAAAACGCTTATTGCACGGGAACTAAAGAAGAGATTTCAAAGAAAAGTGTGGCGTTTCAAAGATAAAATTCCAAACCTATCGACAGATTCATTTTTGTAAGTAACCAATTCGGTTTCTGTCGTAGAAACAACGGTAAATATTGACTTATTTTGGGGAGCCTTTAAAGTGCTCTAGCAACTTATGATTTGCAGATATAATTTTCATTTTCGGGATGTATGTAGGTTCTTTGTAGCAATAAAAATCTTATCAGGTACCAGTTTTATATAAATTTAACAAATATTGAGCACTTTAAGGCAACAAATTTTTGAAAAAATTAACCAATTTTTCTTATTACCAAAATGCTTGAAAACCGCTTGAATGATTTTGTTTTTGTTTTTGTTTTCTTCAATCAAAAATTTAAGTTTTTTCCTTTCGTTTGTTATATGGGAAGTATTGGTTGATATCTTCTAAGTATGTTTATTTATTTAAATATGTGGTCATACGTGATTTTCCATAAAAAATCACTTCGTTATCATTTTGTAAACACGTGCTTGCGCTGGAATTGAGAGAAGGAGAGAAAAAGCATGTGTGTAGGTATTTCGGCTTTTGAGTAAGAGATGGCGCAATATTTATAACCTAATCACAGCGTATGTATGTATGTAAATACCTCTATGTATGTATGTATGTATGTAAATACCTCTATATATATCTGCAGTGTGAAAGGAAATAAAAATGAATCGAAGTAGTGATACACGTCATGGCATATATCTATTTATAATATATATCTATATATGATTGAAGTTAATGTGGAACTGCTTATCTATTGCTAATTATTAATATTTTGCAATTAATTTTGATTTATTAAATTCAATACAATCAAAGTGAATATTTCATGTACCGTTTTTAACTTGACTTAATAATATCACGTATTCTACGTTTAAGTTAGGCGGCTGTGACTCCGACAAAGCCCGCAGGTCAAGACGAAGGCCCTGAACTGATCCTTTTTAAGTCATCAATAAGTTTTGGTTTTACATCACATAATCTCTACTAATTTACATAATTATTTCTCTAAAGTATTTTTGTGTGGCAATTTTATATCTTCAACAATATTCCCATCAAAATTAATGGCCAATAAGACGTTCATATGGTTCACCTAATGTTTGCGCATTGAAACAACTAATCTCGGTGCGGGTAGCAGCTAAACCAACTTTGCATCCCCTTAACTTTCTATGTATGCGCATTGAAAATTAACATTATGTTCTAAAGGTAAGAATGGCGAAAAATAACATTTCATAAATTCACAATTTTGGAATCCATCCGTATCACATTTAAATTTTTTAAAGAATATTCGAATATGTATTATAAGAACAGAACGTGAACAAAAAATCAATGCGCGTCTGGTGAATCACTCAAATCAATACCGATTTAGGACATTTGGATAAGTTTCGAAACGATATCGACGCGTTCGTCTAAATAAATGTGTCGATAGTTAAGTTGTATAGATATCTCTTTATTTTGTACTAATTGTAGAGGGAATGAAATGTTTATTGTCTCATCAACTATTTAAAAATTTTTTTCATGTAAGCGATATCGGTTTTAAATTGATTTTCTGGTGCGGAAGTGTAATGATCGCCCTGCACTGTTGAATTGGTTATTGACGATGCCGGTGAAGAACCGCAAGCTTTTTCACTACTTAACAGTGCGTGACGAATTTGGGAATGATTGGAATTTATTTTACTGAGCGCGCAATTACTAGCTATACGTCGATTTGGGGAGCTACGGTTACAATAATGTGCTTTAGTGGGAACATGAAGTCTACATATCGAATTCATTTGGCGAAGCATGGGAGAAGGGTTAGTACACATTTTTTTAAATAGAAACATAAGCATAAAGTATTTAATTTAAAGTTCATATATAAATATATGCATAATGATACCTCTGCAACTGTTCGTCTTCCTCTGGAATTCCATCTACCCCTTGACCACGCAATGCCTCCCATATATCCACTTTATCGGTGTCCTCAGCTGTATTTGAAGCAGAAGCCCCGGAGGTCGTTTCCACTAAACTTTGTTCAATTGCATATTGCAACATATCGTCTTCATCCAAAGGCATTTGACGAAGAGTGTCCGCATCTGAAAAGCGAAAATAAATTCTCTGAACAACAAAAACGAATGCGAATTTTATTAATTTGTGTACCTCTGTTGACGTAATGGCTCGGTATATCGAAACAATGGTCGTCGACAAGGCAAGTTATGCGATCGTCTTCATTAATTGTGGTTACATTCTCAACGGGAGCCGTCATGCCGAATACATTTCCAAACGTGATGCATGCATTTAAAACATGGAAGAGTGGGATTTCAATTTTCACTGGAAAACCAGAGGGCAGCTGCATGGTAATGAAATCTTTCAGTTTAGATACGTGTGGACTTGCCATAGTAGACATTAAGTCAAGTATAGGAAGAACTTGTTCTTGCAGTCGCATAGGATACTCTTCGGAGAGCCATAGATTAGCCTTAAATCTCTGAATCTAAAATATATACTTAATTATAACTTCTCAATTAGCTGCTCCGTTTAATGTTAAATAATTGGTCTTTAAGCAGCAATCAACAGTAATACATTTTGATAGATACCTTGGTAGTGACTTTCTTTGGTCGTCCAATGTCACGTCCATTCAAATCGACATTGGGAGAAAAATACTCCTCTGCCGTAATAGCGTGTTTTGGTGGCGTTGTGCCTGAGCTGATACTGGCATTTTCTTCGGGTGTGCTATTTTCAGGGCTTTGATCTAGTAATGGACTCCCAATAGATGGAGACGGCGTCTGACATATATATGTAATTTATATGTGAATCGAGTATATATTTTCTCCGATTAAACTAACGAGCAAACATGCATTTAAGCTTGTCTTTTGTAACACTTCTTACCCGATCTTTGGCAATTATTCCTTCATTAGTGTGAGAATTTGTTAAATCGTCGTCAGCGATCCCTAAAAAGCTATGCAATGGTGTCCTCGCACATTTATTCTGGTCATATTGAATTTAGAAAATATTTTTCATAAAATGTTTTCTCAGCGATGTTTTTTAATAAAATTTAGAGTACCTTAATTTGATCTTCATTTAGGTGATCCATTCGGGTGCGCGTTATAAACTCAACGTTGCTGGCGCCATAAACTTTGCAATTGTATCCATTCACCATCTCTGACTTTTCGCTGCGCCAACCCCAAATTCCCGATTTATTCCGCTCAAAACTGATTTTTTCCATTTCTATATTGTTAGTAATGACGGGTGCATTGAGGCGGCCGCGCACAGCACCAATTGGAGGCGGTATTGCGACTATATCTCCGATTTCGCTATTCATTTGTTCTTCAATCACTTCGTGAGTGTCATGATCGATCTCAATCATCGTTGCAGAGTCCTCTGAAATAAATTTTATTAAATAAGTAAAGAATAAAGGTAATGTTATCGGCTCGTTTCTCTTACTTGCGCCTTTAAAGATATAAGAGCGATTGCCTCGTTGCCAGGAGTTGTTATGAAACCCTAATAATGTGGTATCTATTCTCACATTCGCTCCACGTTTATAAACTTTGTAGGTGTCGCTCGGACAAAGACGAGACATGAGGGGTACTGTAATATATGTACATTAGACCACGTCAAAAAATAAAAATCCTTCAATGCGACCGCTATCTGAATCAGACTTTAGTATTTGCTATAGTAATGATCCTCAATGAATATCCCCTCACTACGGCAATTCCAAGAGGTCGCGCATCGAGTGTTTATTTTTCCCATACGAATTACACGTTAGAAAATTAGTTATTGTCTTTTGAGGTCAATATAATTTTCTAGGATTAATGAAAACGCTCGAAACTATAATAATACATTGATTACATTCCATTTAAGTATTATACATGATCAGATTCATGTCAAATCTAGTAATTAAGAAAAAATTTGTTTTTGGAATCTAAGGAATCTGAGCATGCATAAAACTTAAATGACATGCAATCATTGTATTCTTATAGTTTCGAGAATTTTGAGTAATCCTAGTAAATTATATTGACCTCAAAAGAGAATAACTAATTTTCTTAGGTTTAATTCCTATGCGAAAAATAAACACTCGATGCGCGACCTCTTAGAATTATCGTAGAGGGGAGATTCATGGAGGATCATTGCTATAAAATCTGAGTCCGACGGTGGTCGCATTGCATGATTTTTATTTTTTTACGTGGTCAATGTATGTACATACATACAAACATATGTATGTATATATGTAAAAAAAATATTTTTTTATATATTGAGATGCAATAGTAAATTCATGATTATAAAAAATGGTTTACCCCAAGATGTAAACTCCCATTTCATTTCAATGTAGAAATCAGGTGCATCTAAAAGGTGTTGTAATAATTTCGGAACATGTGTTACCCGTTGAACATGACGTTGCAAATCGCGTACTTCAATGATGGCAGTCAGTATATCCTCATCGCCGGAGCATACGGCTTCTTGCACAACTGGAAATCGAAAATATGCATTTTTCTTCTATATATACATTTCGTTATGTAAATCTACACAATAATGTGTGAAAATATTTAGATATTAGTTGGCCTTACTTGACCATCCCTCGTATTCATAGGTGGCATTACATTTTGCTGCTAAAAGGCACTTTACACATTGCAAATGTGATAATTTCACGGCTAGCATCAAAGGTGTTCGGCCACGGGCATCGATTTTTTCCTTGTCAACCTAAACTTGAGAAGTTTCAAAATACATATGTACATTTTATTACAAAATAATCAAAACGCATGAAATATGCACTACAAAATACTCGTACATGTTTTTACAAATTAAGTTTTTAGTTAAGAGATACGACTAATGGCAGTATAGAGCTATGTATGTACTAAGGTAGCTTATAAATGCTCCTTAAAACGACTGGTTATACTTCGTATTTTTGTTTGTTTACTCGATTTTGTATGCCGTATTTGTATTTTTAACTGGTAACGTGAACCGTGTTCGATCATTCAAATACAAATTTGGTTTAGTTCCCATCATGAAGGATCATGAAGAAATTGACGGTACTCTTAAATTTGTATATTAACATTGAAGATGGTTGTGTTTCTTGCTTAAAAATTACTTGTGACTTTACTTATTTATTTAGTTGTATTGTTTGCACTTCATTGATTGTAATATCTTCTATAGTTTTTTTAATTAACTTCACGTTTTGACCGACTTCACAAAAAGGAGAAGGTTATCAATTCGTCGGAATATTTTTTTTATGTACATATGTTACCCCATAGCTTTGGACCACGTTAACCGATTTCAATAATTCTTTTTTAAAAGGAAAGGTGTTACCATACAGGTGGTCCCATACTAATTTGGTTTAAATCCGATTATTGGATCATGAAGAAATTAACATTCTTAAATTTTTATAAGAGAATTGGAACCGGTTTGGTTTTATGCTTAACAATTGCTTGTTTAATTCACATTTTTCTGCTGTTATTCGACTTCCTCGACTGTTTTACAAAAGTTGGCAGTCAGTAAACAGTAAATCTAAACATAAGAAGGGCATTATATGTATGTAATTAAAACCGTTCAAAAATGAGCTTGTATTAACTTATTCGTATGCAACTTCAAATATGTATGAAGGTCTAGGTTTTGAGTGGGATAACACTACTCGGATGAATGGCAACTATAACATTAATATTCAATTCCGGTGATACGGTATTTGATGTCTGATTATCCTTGTTTATAAGTTGAACTTATTCTGATGTTTTTAATTGTAAAGAATACATAGATATTAGAGTCCAGCGCAATTGTATTTGCCGCATTTCATTCAATAAGTACTCCTTGCATTGTACTCTACTCCCAACACATTGTTACTTTTTTTCCGCATACATACACTACTTGGCGTTGAGAGAGTAAATACTTGACGTACTTGCTATTACTCCACCAAAGTACGTACTCTACTTTCCCTCATCGCGTACGAGAGATATTTGCTGCTGCCAAAAGGGANTTGCGCTGGAGTCTAATAGATATTATTAAGTAAGTAATGTCTCATGCTTTACTGTATTCAGCCGAATAAAGGATGGTTTAATAAATAAAGGCCTACAAATATTGAACTACGAAACATAGCGACGTGTGTCACATCATGAAGTGCCAGTTCATGGTATGTCGCACATACATGTTTGACAATGACATATGAAGCCCCTGTCGAATAAATTTAAATCAAATCATGTATCAAGTCTATGCATGTCAACACATGCGACATAGTCAGCATTATTAATTACATTGTTTATACGGGTAGAAATTTTGCAAGCTCCTACTATAGTAAAACTCATTAAACAATTCTCTAATTAAAAATCTATATATATTTTCATACAAGGCAGGATCATACAGTACTTTAAATATGCTGCAGAAACACAACAGCGAACAACAGCTTAGCTAAGAGCAATGACATGCTATAACAGTATGTTTAAGATTGAATGACATGGCATTACACCTTGTTTGAGTTGGCATGGCATAGCAATGTATATTTTTGAAAATGACATTTTTACAGAAAATGTTGAATTTTGCAGTTCTTTATTAATAAATGATGGAAGCGATGCGCAAAAAAACTCGATTTAATGGGCCAGAGTTCGCGTAAAGGCTTATAAATGTTACATTGGGGCCCAATTCTCACACAGTATTGTGGCTTTTAAAGATTTTCCGGTGAGTTTTGTAATTCAGTTCCAAGTTAATTTGAGCCAAATTCGCTTTGAATTCAAATTGGCAGGTGCTGAAATTCACTCAGAAGTGAATTGAATTGCGGTCGTAAAATGGCTCCTCGATAGTAAGGCCGTGTGACCTGTCCCACAGTGCGGCCGAAATCCAAAAGTGTTGCCAAAATTGGAAAAAAAAGTTTCTGGATAGGGCTTTTCCATCATTAAGTTGGTAAAGAGATCTCTAAAAAACGAAAACCGTTCACAGTAACGGCCTGTACCCCAAGTTTCCTCTTTATTTTCAGTCGGAATGTCGTCTTCGCCCAAGCATAACATTATGGTAGATTCAAAGGGAAACGTTATAAACGTGTAAAAGTACTTTGAGTTAAGGAAATCCAACAAAACCAAATGGCATCTACGTCTAAAGGCTAGTACAATACGTAAAAAAAATGTGTGAATATCTACACTGTAACAGAATTTTTTTAAAGTTGAAATATAATGGTACTTTTTTTTACAAAATTTGAGTTGTTAAATGAAACATGATAACACGCTGTAGGATGCTGCCTTTAAGCCTATTGGAGGTTACTTAAGGTGTTCTTACACGATGTGTATTTGCGTCTGTAAATGTGACTTTTTCAATACATATGTAATTGCGTATGTCTGTCAAATTCCCAGTCTTTATTTAACTATTTAAAAATTCATGCTATGAAAACGAAATAAACTAAACTCAGATGATTCTATCTGTGTGTCAGATGAAAATAGAAACATTTCTATTTCGTAAGTACGTGCATCTGATTTGTACAGAAACAAATTTAATACATATCTTGTAAGAACACCTTAAGAAAACCACGATTCAATAATGAAAGGTTTTGTAAGACAAACTTTCTCACTCTAATTTTATCAATGACACTCCCACCCTACTCCTAAAAATAAAAACAGTGATCTTTCTTTTCGAAATTTCTTTGCAAGTTTAAGGAACATTTTTAAATTTTTAGTAGTGAAATTTTTACTTTTTAAATTTTAAGAAATGTTTGTCAGTCTACAGAAATTCAATGTAGACTAAAGGGCGTGTGTGAATCGGTAACAAAGTTCTATGGGGAAAGCTGTTGAATAATGTTTTTACTATGGTGAGACAGTTTTGCCAATCTGCTGTGTGAAATGAAATCTTTTTTGACAGCAGTAAATTTTTGATAACCACAGATTTATTCGGAATAAACTATTACAAATTGAAGTGAAATTGATATTTTAAACACATCTAACATCACTGATTGCATTTCATCAACTTAAGCTTTTGTTTTACGAAAAATTACTCACAGCAACAGTCTTTGCGATTGTCAAAATTTTCTATGCATTTGTCAAAAATTTCACTAGCCTCATGTGCTACTGAAATTTTATTCACCTCATAGTTGTCAAAAATTTACTTGCCGCAAACTTTGTTACCGATTCACACACGCCCAAAGTGACGAAATTCCCTTAAATGCCGAAATGTATTTGTCGACATTTGTGGAGACCTATTGATTCTGCCAAGTCGCTGTAAAGTAGAGCGCGCAATGTTTCTGGTAAATGAGTCAGCGAAGGTATTTAGGCATTGACACAATCCAATCAAGTCAAAAGCAGTTTATGTGATCTAAATTTAAACTTGCACTGAAGAACTGACCCTAAAAGTGCAACATCAAAGAATTCGCGTTATATAGTAAACAGACGACAGCGTTAATCTGGATCAACTCGGGAATTAACTGCATTTGATCCGGAATAAGTCCGAACACACGGAACGTTGTGGAGAAGAAGAACCCGAGCCCGCAATCGATGATGACGGAGTCGACGTTCCACCGCCTGACTATGACGAGGTACGTATAGCAATAACGCAGCTGAAAAACAACAAAGCTGCTGGAGCTGACATCCTGCCAGCTGAGCTATTCAACTACGGCGGCGAGGAGTTGATAAGGTGCATGCATCAACTCTTGTGCAGAATATGGTCAGATGAACGCATACCCGACGACTGGAATTTAAGTGTGCTCTGCCCAATCCACAAGAAAGGTGACCCCGCCATTCGCGCCAACTACCGCGGGATCAGCCTTCTAAGCATAGGTTACAAGGTCTTATCGAGCGTATTGTGTGAAAGACTGAAGCCCACCGTCAATGAACTGATTGGGCCTTATCAGTGTGGCTTTAGACCTGGCAAATCCACCATAGACCAGGTATTCACAANACTGAATTTGGCATCCCTTCAAAACTCATACGGCCGTGTAAAATGACGTTGAGCACCAGCTCCGTCAGAATTGGGAAAGGCCTCTCCGAGTCGTTCGCCACCAAACGGGGACATCGATATCATCGGCATCAAAAACCGCGAAGTCTGTTCTGCCTTTTCCAAGTTGGATAAGGAAGCAAAGCGAATGGGTCTGGTGGTAAACGAGGACAAGACGAAGTATCTCCTTTCATCAAACAAACAGTAAGCACATTCGCTCCTTGGCACCCACATCACTGTTGACAGTTATAATTTCGAGAAAGTAGAGAATTTCGTTTACTTGGGAACCAGCATTAACACCGATAATAATGTCAGCATNTTTGGACTGAGTAGGCAATTCAGGAGTAAAGTCCTCTCTCGACGTGCGAAAACCACGCTTTATAAGTCACTCATCATGCCCGTGCTGGTATATGGCGCAGAAGCATGGACAATGACAACATCCGATGAGGCGGCTCTTGGAGTGTTCGAGAGAAAGATTTTGCGGAAGATTTACGGGCCTTTACGCGTTGGCGACGGCGAGTACCGCAAATGATGAAACGATGAGCTAAATGAGCTTTACAACGACGTGGACATAGTGCAGCGAATTAAAATACAGCGGCTCCGCTGGCTTGGCCATGTCGTTCGAATGGACACCGACGCTCCAGCTCTGAAAGTATTCAACTCGGAACCCGCTGGTGGTAGCAGAGGAAGAGGAAGGCCCCCACTACGATGGAAAGATCAGGTGGAGAAAGACTTGGCTTCACTTGGCGTTTCCAATTGGCGTCAGTTGGCACAGAAGAAAAACGACTGGCGTGCTTTGTTGA